GATGATTTGTTGTGTTTCACAAAACATACACAATCAAATACCTTTAATTGGAGGATCTCACTATTTTCTTCTTTCAATATCTGACAAAGACTTCCAATCTAACACTCTAGAGGGCATTCTGTTGATCAATTAAGCCGCTGTCAAAACTCCTTGCCACCATAAGTGCTTTGGGATATTCATCGTGATCATGTTTCGGGCTACCTCTAGAAGATGTCTATTCTTTTTTTATGTTACTTCATTTGGTATTGGTGTGTATGTAGATGTGGTTTGATGTTGTATCTCTTGGGCTAACAAGTATTCTCTAAACGTCTTGTTGGTTTGCTTTGTCTCATTATCAGATCTAAATACCTTCATTACTACACTGTATTGAGTTTGAATCGTCATGTGAAAGACTTTAAAGCGGGCAATCACATCATCTTTGTTTGTCATCAAATATAATCAAGTTGCATGATAAAAATAATCAACGAAAGTCACAAAATATCTAAAACCATTCATCAAAGTTATAGAACAAGATCATCATACATTTGAATGTATCAAATCAAAAACACGAGAATTTCTATTATTGAAACAAATATAAGAGCTCCTGGTATGCTTACCAAACTCACAAGCATCACACATAAGTTTATGTTTATTTGTCCTTTCATACAAATGCGGATACAAACGATTCAATTGACTAAATAAAGAGTGTCTCATACAGTTGTGATGCAGCAACAACGCATCATTCATATTCTTCCCAAATCCTTCTACTCCAACACTCTCTACCATGGATGTCAAGATAGAGCCCATCCCCTCTCTGTCAAAGTATCAGAGTCCACTATGCCACGTGTCAGTCCCAAGTCTTCGGCGAATTCACTTCCCTTGAATGATTACCTTTGGAATATCAAACAAAACAACACATTTTATTTGGTATATAATGACAACAATGGATAAAAGGTTCACTAAAAATGAATGAGCATGTCAAACATTGGACAAATTCATAGAATTCATACACCTTATTGTACATGTACCAACTATAGGTTGTGTTGTGTCATAAACAGTTTGGATGCTCTCTGAAACTGCTAGGTGATTATAAGAGGAGAACTCTCTAGCAGTACCTGTTACATGTCGAGATGCACCATAATATATTATTCATTCTGGTGATGTTGTGGTGGAACTAGCGGTAAAAGCATGTGTATCATGAGTACCTTTGTCAGAGTGAACATAATTAGCAATGTTACCCCTTGATGGTGACGTGGTGGATACCTTCTCAGCGCCATCATCTACGTTTTCTACTTCCTCTTCAACATTTCTAAAAACTCATATTCTTTATCGGCAAAGATCACACCTGTCTCTTTCTTATCCTCTCCCACCATCAGATTTGCCCGATAGCTCTCTCTTCAACCTCTTCGACCACCACGACCACGATTAAGCCCACCTAAATGTCCATGTCCACCTCCTTCTCTCTCTCCATAAGTGGCCTAGGACAAATATTGCTCAAATAGCTAGTTATAGCACTTGTGAGTCTCCCCCTAGAAACTTGTCTTTCCTGAGTCTGAGGCAATCAAAGCTGACCGCGTGCCTGGAAGTCCACTCGACTCAGAGTGTAGCCTCATGCGACTCTCATCATGTATCGTGGCAACGATGGTCTCATTGTAATAAATATTGAATGGATCGTTGCCTGGGCTAAGAGGACCAATTTCCTCTAATCAAAGGTTGAGTTCAGAGGAATAAAAAACTGCATAGTTCTCATCTATGCAAAAATTTTTCTTTTCTTGCACCCTGGATCACCATAGTTCGACATAGTTCATAAGTGATCAAGATCTTGTCATAGCTTCTCCAGCTCTATGGAATATTCTTGAATCGATTTATCACCCAATACCACCGTCTTTGTCACGCTGAATCTGGTATACCCTCATGTTGTTTTCAATCTCATCATAGGTCCTTTTTAGCTTTGCTCGGATGTCCTTACCTTTTGAACGTCATCCACTGATGAGACAATTGATGGAACCATCAAATTGAGAAGCCAAGTATAAAGTAAGGTGTGTGTGGGTCCTCCACTTATCCTCCTTTGCATATTCATCCTCTAGCTCAACCTTAAATCCCATCAGATATCCCTCTAATCTCTTCTCTACTAGAGCACGACGCGACCAACTCAACTACGTGGACAGTCTATCAAGCTTCATATCCACAATAGGAAGATCTAAATTCACCCACATTGGAGCACGTGCTGAGGTAGTGGTTCCCGTCGAGATACTAGCTCCATGTATGAGCCCGATCCAGACCTTTAGAACCGAAAGTTCTATCTTTCCTAGAAGCTCTAATCATTTACCTCCTGCACTATTTCTTTCTCCTAACAGTCTCAATCACTATTATCCAAATCTAGACCACACGTGAATTTGATCCTTCACGTCTGTGCCCTGCTATCACTTCTGGCCTTCCCTCTCTGGCTAGCTCTAATCGAGGCTGCTTCGTGAGGATGATGCAGAAGGAAAAAGAAAATGGGAGTTTTGGGTCTCTATACCTCGCGATCCCATCGCACGATCCCATCGTTGTTTTTCCATTCATCTCTAATAGCGGTTAAATCGTGGAAGGAAAAGGAAAATGTGAGTACAGGGCCACTGTACCTCGCGATGCTATCGCTCAATCCCATTGTTGGACTTTCACATTGCGATCTCGTTGTTGCCTTCTCAGCTAGCTCGCAATCGAGGTGACGGGTTCGACAAATGCGATCCCACTTGCATACTCCTCATGGATATCTTTGATCGCCAATTCCAACTTGTCGGATTGAGTAGCAGCCACGACTAGGTTAGGGCTCGAATACCATATAGAAAGAAATGCTTTGAAGAACTTCATTCTATTCATTGATGATTTGAGCTTCTATAGAGCCTTACAACTTTTTTATAAATAACCCATAGACTTTTTCTATATTTTCTATTTACAATTAGATATAAATCTCAACACTAATCATGGCGACCAACACGGTAGGTGATAGGATCAAATCTTTCTCCTGTGAAATGCTCTAATTTTTTGTAGTTTAAAGCTCGGCATGTTTCTACTAGAAAATGTTTGGGGCATTTACATACATAGCACACAATTCTTATGCAATTCTTATGACAATTCTTATGTATTTACATATCTCACTTCTAAACTTTCATATTTACACACATAGCACTCAATCTTTAATATCATATAAAGAAATGGATGCATACCAAACTGCGCTATGTATGTAAATATGAAAGTTTGTGTGATATATTTACATACCTAAGTGCGTACATGCATACATATTTATGCATTCATATTTATCCCTTATATTTAATACATTTTGTAATATTTTCTTTATAAATATATTTTTATAAGTTTACTATGGATGACAAGCATAATTAATAATGTAACATATTTTGTAAAATTAATAAATTTATTGTGCTTACTTGAAACTCAACTCAAACTCAAATATTGTCGACTTAAGTCGAAATTAGATTAAGTTAAAAGTGAAATATTTGATTTTGAGTTTAGGCTGACATGTTCAAATTTGGCTTGATATCACTTCTATACTTTGCCAAGCAACTCAAGCCTATTTTCCACTTTCTTTTTTCAACCGGAGATGGTTTTATTTTATAGCACATTTAGTTTGCTACGTGACACGGGAATGCTCCCGCTTTGGACGTGGGATGCGAGCTGCCACTCCCCCTGATCACGGGAGGCGGGCCAAAATAATACTGTTTTCATTTTTATACTTTATTTCCTATTATTCTTAATTCATTTTAGTCCTTTCATATAGATATGTGTTGTGTCAGAGTTTATAACTTAGGAAAGCCATCGGTGTCCCAGTTTCTCCCTCCTCGTGCTATATCAAAGATGAGAAGGTGCTCCGGCTATAGGTTGTCCTGAGGTTGTGTGTATCTCCTATTTCCCTAATATCTGCAACCCTTCCCCTTTCAAATACTTCCCTTTTCCTTGCTGCAGTTTCCGTAGGCAGCAGCATTCCTGTCTTTTTCCTGCAGACCAGGCACTCGGCCATCTATTTTCCTCATTCCAGCTGCTTATCCTCGCTCCCAGCCACCTCTCCTTTGCTGCTACAGTCCGGAACAAAACTTCTGGGTGCCTTTCCTGCAGTCCGGCCCACTTTCTTTTATACAGCTGCCTGGGACAGCAAGTGGCTGATTCCTCGCTGTCATTTTTCCACTGATTTTAGCCAGCCAACCCCCACTTTTTCCTACCACAGCTAACCGCAACTTCCCATTCCTCCTGCAGCCATCCGCCGCCTCGCCACCCTCCTCCTGCCGTTCACTCACCAAATCCGACCACCACCTTTGGATAAAGTTTAGTTGTTTTTGTTTGTGTTTGTTTGTGTTTGTCATTGTATTTCTCTTTCAAGTATTATTGATTGTAATCATATATTTATTTTTGATAATAATATTTATTATTTTATTATTGTTTGGTTAATTCCAGTATCACTACAGCTCTTTAGTTCAATCTATAAAATATTCTTGAAAATAACAAGCTCCTAACTATTCTACTACTGTCTACAACTCATTAGCGAACCTTTCTTTTACGGTAGAGCTGCTTCTCGCCAACCTTATCCACAGCCTTCTGAGGAGCTTGGATGGTTCCCAACACAATCTAAACTCTTTAATTTTACTACACATTTTAAATCTCATTTCAATCAATTTAAATAAAGCTTCTTATTGCTTACCGTCAGTTTCTCTTTAATTTTGCCGCACTCATTTTAAAATGTTCATTTCTATCAATTTGGGTATTTTTGCGCGCTTCTAACTCTGATGATTTCCAGGAATGCGGATGGAAAGGCTGGGGAGAGATATCTTATGGAGGATATAAATGTCTACTGCGTGCCGAGGCAGCAGATTTTCTGGTTAGTGAATTTGATTCATGTTGTTATCATTCAGTTTAAAAAGTCATAATGTTTAATGTTGCTGGAAAAGCTCTCTGTGCATGTTAAAATGGTTTCATGTAGAAAACTACAATCCTATTCATAAGATTATGAGCAAAGTGTCAAAGAAGTCTCCTGACTTTTTGCAAGAGGGTATTTAAGTCCTAGAGTTTATAAAAGTATCAATTTAGTTCCCAATTTTTTTTTTAATATGGGCTGAAATAGTCCCCAAGGAGTCACTTTTAACCCCAATTTAAAAACTATGGGGACTAATTTGGCATTTTATAGACCATGGGACTAAAATGGCCCCATATAAATAATTGATGGACTCTTTTGGCTCTTTACTCATAAGATTACAGTGATTCTTGAATTGTTCGTTAATAGTCCCATAATCTTTCATGGTATTTCCTTGCAGATTGAATTGAGCTGGCTCTGTTGGCTAACACCACATTTAAATTCTTCTTTAGGTCAGGTCATGGATTGATGAGAAGTACCCTGGAATTAAAGATTCCATTATTTCTTACATTATTGGATATGACAGCCTGAAAGCAGCCTGCAGTAGTAACAGAAATTCATCGTCAGAGCAATTAATGGAAGTAAGGCTTCGTATGGATGGCTCGTTTAAGCTGAAGGAGCATGCCATTCACTTTGTTGAAGAGTTCATGGCTCTCTACACAAATGGGCCTGCGGGCGGTGGAGGTATCAGGTTAGTGGAACGTGTATTGTGTGTTCTGTTTTACATTTTTTTTTTAGGGAAATTTACATCTATAGTACACAATTCCTATGTATATTTATATCTCACACCTACACTTTCATATTTACATTGATAGTTCTTTGGTGCTTTAAATCTATGCATGAAAAGGTACATTTCACTTCTAAAAAGTGCTAATTTTGTTATTTTTGATGTGATATGAAAGATTTGAGTGCTATGTGCATAAATATAAAAGTTTAAATGTGAGATATGTAAAGTCATATAAATTGTGCGCTCTTTATGTAATGCCCTTTTTTTATAAATTGCATCAAATTTTAAAGCCTTAGGTTTCAATTAGGTACTGCTTAGGTCAACTCTACTATTTCAGTATTAGATACCCGGGGTTTAAATAAGCTTGAATTAGATCCATTAATTTTTCTAAAACAACAAATTTACACGATGAATTGTTTTGCTGTGTGCTCTTTTATTAATATTTTCATATGCGAAGTGCTGCACTCACCTAAAAAATTAACTCAGTGCCGCATCAAGATTTTTCCTCCGAGCAAAGGTGCATGGCACTCTTCCCGTTGTGATTGAGTCACTTAAAAGATGGACCCCAAAAATTTTTTTGTGGAGATTTTTTTAATACTCTTTTCATAGAACTTCTTAATTTGTACTTTTATTATCTCATCCTCACTCTTCTCAAGTAAAATGAATGATTAAACTTTGTAGACGTCGTTCAAATAGCTGTTCACTTGCACCAATTCTCACACCCAACACCCCCCCCCACCCACACATACACACTCATCTTCATACTTTTTATTTTTGGGGCATTTACAATACATACCACGTAATTCTTATGTATTTGTATATTTAACACCTAAATATTCATATTAACATGAATTGGATGAATGAATTAATACAATATGTTGTATTTGTTTTTGCAGAATAATTTTCCATATATAAAATCTAATTATATTATATATGAGTTTTTTTGTTGTGAAATGCAGCACTGGGCACAAAAAGGAGATACTTCTTCTAAAGGAGCAGGTATGTTACCGCATACATGGCTTGAATGAATTTTTATGAATTTTGCTTCTTCATTGTAGTTTATTAGCGACAAAATAGACCAGTACTATGTTTTGAAGGCAATGAATTAAATAATTATAGAGATGCTTGAAGTAGCCTACATGTCATTTTGGAGTTTAAGAGTTTGGGTGGCTCCATTACCCATGAAATATATATTGTATGATCGCCTACAATTATGAAGGAAAACTAGTGGAATTCCTTAAGGCAAATTAATTCTTTAATCTTAATCCTTTATAGGTTTAAGCACTCTTAAAATCATTCCTTGATAACAATTAGCCATTAGTATTTCCATATACTCCAATATGTAGATGTCTGTCAATCGCCAGATTGGAAAAGAGATATTTGATTTAATATAATATATATAATTTTAAAAAGTATTTGCTTAATTTTAAAACTACGAGATCGAACCGATCTCATATAGATAATAATTTAAATAAACGAGCACAACACCGTAAGTGATACATCTATCCCGAGGAACAGACATAATTACTTACTGGTGAGGCTCGATTAAATAATTTATGCCACCCGTTTTAGTCTGCGAACCTTTATGTTGACCGACAAGTTCCCCTATCTAAATTGAAAGGTTAGATAGAGTTTATATTATCTGGGTTCTTAAAGTTTCCTATAAGGGCAAACCCCTATAATTAATTACATCTTAAATAACCGAAGTCACCTAAGAAAACTCTCAATTTAGATCAGAAAATATTGTCTTCAAGAATTTCAAAGGGTGAGACTTTTCAAAGATCCGACCAAGGAGTGTCAAATGGGAAAGTCTCAAATTTGGAACATTGTTATGTAATCCAAAGGAAGAGAAATTAGGGGATGTCATGAATCCTGAGGAAAATCTCGGTGACTTCCCAAACTATCCTATGGTTAGACTTCAATTTCGGAGAGATATTATTAAATATTACATCCTGTCATTTATTATTATTTATGACTTATATTTGTGTGACACAGTCATACAAATCGTCTGGAAAATATGAGGGTTTACGTTGTATCGAACGACAATCTCGGAACCTAAAGCGAGTTAGGGCTTAGATGACACAGTCTGGCTGTGCAAAGATCTAAAAGATAAAGTGAGGATTTATGTCCCGCCAGGTAAACCACCTCGAAATCTTATGACTTGTTTAATTCTAAGGAAAAGTTTGTTGTTGCTAACTCTCTCTCGAAGTTGATTTTCTGTTAATCCCTATCTTGCTGCCCACGGTATTAGCTCAAAGCTCCATGTCGTAGGAGTTTCAAGTTCAATGTTAAGTTTAAATATACATGCAATTGTTGGGTCTCAAGGGCCCGGTGTACCTCCTGACGTATGTCCTACTGTTCTCTACCCAAGGAGTTTAACAAGTGCATTAAAGTAAGTAATGCAATAAAGAAAACAACAAATCACAGGAAGCTTAAACAAATTGCTAGAAAATCCAGTATAAGAAAATCATAATAAAAAAAAAACACGAATGAGTAAAACAAAACACGATGTCACGCATAAAGAACCAGGAGTATGTGACTTATATGTGACATTAAAAATGTCCCCAATTGTTAGGAGGTCCCCAATTGTCAGGAGGATTTGAGTGTAAGGCTCAAACTTAAATCTTGGAGCATTGAGTTTCACTGTAGGTTAAGTCATGGCGGAAATTTCACTACTTGATTTAATTAAAAGGAAGTAATGAACCACATCTTGATGTATCATTATGTCTATCATTTTAACTAACTTATGAATTGAGGTCAAATGCGTAGTTTCATCATTCATTCGAAAATTATGTAAATGAACAATCATCTAGGGTGTGCTCATAAAATTTATGAAGCCTACACTTTAACCTGTGCTTGAAATGATTTAAGGTTTTTTACCCAATTAAGTGTTTTCCAACTAATCCTCAAATAATTTTTTAAGTGTTTTTTAAATAATTAAATTCTCATTTTTGACTTAACCATAGATAAAAAAAAATATAACAAAAGCTAGTTAACAGAGAAGGAGGCCGACCCACTTCTAGAAACACCAGCTAAGCAAAGGCAAAACCGCAAGTGAATCGGCTTAAAGGCGTTTAAATTTTTTTCAAAATGATGATCAAATCAATCTCAAAAGGTGCGTAAAAACCTCCAAAAGTCAGTACTTTAAGTGCCCAAATCGATGTATAAAAGCCTCCAAAAATCTTCTCAAATTGACACAAATATAGAGTAGAAAATAGCCATTTAAAATTTTGATGGTATATATTTAAACATTGAAGATTAACTGATAGATATGTAGATATAAAATCTGAAATTTTATGTTTGAAGCCAAGTGTTAGAAATGTAAATATATGAGAATAACAAAATAATATGTAAACTTAGATCCACAAATCAGATTTATATAAGTGCAAGTGTTGAGATTTCAAAACTAGCAAACCTACACTTCAAAATTTAGATATTACATGTGTAGATGCTTAGGGATGATGAGGAACAGCGGACATACATTTGTTTTACATTTTACATGAGTATGCAGGGATTCTGAAAAATTCTGCGCATATACATACGAAATTTAAACGCTATATATGTAAACACATAATTAATTGAGAAAATTGCCTACCAAAGCTTTCATATTAATGTACACATGGCATTCAGTATTTTAATCTCATGCATAAAAAGATATCTTTCACAGTAAAAAGATGGAGGCACCTCCTATGCGATATTAAAGATTTGAGCGGCATAAATGTGGAGAGACAAGTTTTATCTGCATACCACATAAATCATATGAATTCCCATATCTAACACCCAAAATTTATCTCATCATTCTACCCGTTTCGATAGTAATATAAATTGAGTGTCGCATATGTAAATATGAGAGTCTAATTAAGATATATAAGTGCATAAGAATTGTGTTGCGTGTGTGTGAATATCCCTTAGCAAAAGAGAATAAACCCTTTTTTTTTGTGTGAAAACAATTGGAACTATATGCCCAGAATATAACTTTTTCATGGACAAAACTTATAAAGGAATCCCAAATATCTAATTCCTCTTCAACCCTAATTGTACCGAACTCCAAAACAACAAATTCTTCAACGCCAAGTGTGTGTGTATATATATATATTCATTAACGCCAGGTATAGCAAAACCTAGAATACACAACTCTTCTGTAACACCAACTATACAGAAATTTAGCATATCTATTCAGCTTTTCATTATCGTGCATATATGCAAATACTCAAGAGATCCAGTGGTACGCATGTAAATCTGACCCAGAAATGCAACCTAGGTGTTAGAGATGTAAATGTATATAAATTGAGTGAAGTGAATATAAATCAGCTTTAAATCCACGTCAAGTTTGAGGTAGAGGCTATCATATATGAAATTACTTGAACGATACAAACCACCATCTCCTAGGTAAAGCTCCAAACATTGCGAATGCCCAAAATTTTCAGACTTCTCCTAAAAACGGAACCACCGCTTTTTCAGATTCCTAAAAAAAAAAATGTCAAAAACTTCAGATTTTCACAAAGAGAACACCCAAGCTTTCAGATTTTCACAAAGATATAGCACCAAAGCTACAATTATTAAGCACCACCATGAGCTAAGAAAACAGAAAATCCATTCATTACCCAAGCCGGTCGAAACAAATTTCAGAAGATAGAAGGAAATGATTTTCCATTTTTCTACATCCTCCAGCAATTATATGATAGCAACTATATGGCCCTTTCTAAGCATGCTAATATGGGGGTTCCAATGCATTTAATCATGTATATCAGTAAAGCAGTGAAATAGAGAGCAGGTAAGGAATGTAGGCTGCCCTAAAAGTTCCAAAGAAACCATCATTTAAGCATGCTAAGCAACAAGTGAGGTGATTTTATCGAATGACAATCCTTTGTCCGAACATAACAAACTACCAAAAGAGAAACAGGGACAACTTCCAAGCTTCTGAGCAACATAAACCCAAATCATAAACATCTCAGACTTTTCTAAATGATGTTTTCAAGGATTTCAAAACTTCATAAAATAAGGCTTTCAAAATTTTGAACTGCATAAACCTAACTACTTATCTCATGCACACCAAGCAACCAACAAGAGCATTAAACGACCAGAGAAAGAAAAAGAGGATTACCTCACTTGAGCTTTACCCACAGAATTTCCAGAAGACCTCAATCACACACAAGATGAACCGGACAGGGAGAGTCCAACAACAACCCAAAATTTTGGCAGCACCTCCCCCTCTCCAGAATTTCGGCCAACCTTAAAATCCTTCCCCAAGTGGGGTATTTATAGTAGAAGAGGGAGGAGGAAGAATACATTCACCTAGCTGGGCGGTGAGCCGAGCGCGACAAGGCACGACAGAGAGCGTGGCGGGTAGAGAGCTGGAGCGCGACAGGGAGTAGGTGGAAGCCTTACCAGAGCATGAGGGAGGGGACCTCAGGCCGATCCTTCGCGAGGAAGAGAGGGGAGCTCGGCGAGGAGAAGGGAGGCTCGGTTGGGTCGGTTTCGCGAACAGGAGAGGAAGGGGCGGACGTGCGTAAGTGAATTAAGGATTAGGGATTTAGGAATTTTAAAATAAGGATTTTTTCTTTTTTTATTTAAAACATCAAATTTCATATGATTTATTTGTGCGGCGCCTTAGCAAAATAGGTGTCCTTTCTAGCTAAAATCGACGTTTTGTAAAATCGATGTTTTGTGCGCGTCGACGAGGTCCATTTCGTCATCCGGGGTCGTCCTTACAACTTCGTCGACGGTCGGCAACTTTTTCGGCGATCGAGACAAAAATGCGTCGAATTTGATTTTCGTCAAAATTTTGGTTCGCGATCGATCGTTTCAAAAATTTATTTAAATTTTTTATAAATGACAGCGCGGACGATGCGAATTGTGGTAATCGAATATGTCGACAGTTTGAACTGCGAAGTTTGTGCGCGCGAATGTGCAAATTGTGCAAAAGGCAATCTTATGGCTTAAATGTCCTATAGACAAATTGTGCAAAAGGCAATCTTATGGCTTAAATGTTCTATAGA